AGGAATTTTTAATGAAGGAAAACTTGAAAAATAATATAGAAGTTATGTTCTATAACTTTTATTATTTTTCATAAGATTTTTTGATCTGCATTGTTTATATATATGATTTTTTTTCTGCATATTTTTCGTAAACATAGCTTTGGTTTTTGTAAAAGAATTCGTCACTAGATGTCTTTTCCTGACTTTTTTTTTGTATTAACTAACAATTGAAGACCATGATACAGTAAATTAAGGAGATTCATCATAGTCGCATCAAATGAATGCTCTCACATACGGAACAACTAGTTTAAAACATGACCTGCCAATAGTGTACACAGACAGAATTGTTTAAATTTTAAAATATTTACAGTTTCTCATGTGCCCACAGTACAAAATTTCATCAACCTTTAGTTATCTTTTTTCGTCATGGTTGAATGGAACACGACTATTTACCTAGGGAGAAGCAATATTACACACATTCAAAAGCAATTTGACAGCAATTAAAATCTTTTGTTTATTATCCTTATAATTAAAAAAATGATTTCTTAGACTTCGTTGAATTTGCTTTTTAATATGCATGATATTGTTTTTTCTTATGTAAATGGTCGTGTCCCATCCAACCATGACAAAAAAAAAAACTAAGCGTTGACGAAATTTAGTAGTCAGGATACATAACAAACTGTAAACTTCTTCTCGGTGTGTGTACGCTACTGGCAGCTCATATTTTTAATTAGTTGGTTTGATAGTGAGAGTCTTCATTTCATCCAACTACGATCAATCTCCTTAGCTTACAGTATATGATGTTTTACTCTAAGCTATATAATGGTTGTGTTGTTTTTCTTTACTATGAAATACTTTTAAAAACAAAGTATGAGCCGATAAACAAAAAAAAACGTGAAGCCTGTTGCGCAAGTATGTCAACATGATAATCCTTGGTTTGCAGAAAGTTACTCTTTATGGTCAGTTTCCAATTTCAGAAAAAAATTCTGATTTTTTTCTGATTTTTAAGTTTTTCATCTAGCACCTGTAGTGAAAATACCAGAAGCGAGTCTTTTCTTCATTCTTCACAGAAAGAACAAGCAAAAATGCATGTGTGCTTCAGACGGAAGAAAAGAAAACGAGTTATTATCTAATTCAAAAATAAATAAACAATTCTGAAAAAGTGAAATTTCAATGGGCAAAAATTTACTCATAAAAATTACAATGGGCAAATCTCCAAATGAAATGGGCAATTGCCCATTTGCCCCTCCCTTGACTACGCCACTGTACTCAACCACCTTTGAGTGTCGATTGCTAAGGGTTGTAAGGAAGAAAGGAAAGGAATCAAGAAAAAAAACATCGACATCCAATTTATATAATCTTATATTCGTTTAAAAGTTCGATATCAATTATAGATATATGTATATTCATTATCTATATATAAAATAAGTTAAATTGATTTAATATATTTAGATAATTTGTTGTTAGTTATGAAAACTCGACAACATAAATTATGTTTTATTATTTCAATAATAATATTATTATTTTTATGGCAAATTTTATTAATTCTAATAGCAATAAAAGAAAGTCGTAGTGGAATTAATTTTAATTCATTTGATATTGATTTAAATAAAACAAATAGTTCAATTCCTCGTATAATTCATCAAACATGGAAAACTTCTAATTTAGCAACATATCCAATAAATAATTCTCATTCGGAATGGAAAAGACTTTATCCTGATTATCAAATTCGTCTATGGACAGATGAAGATCTTGATGAATTAATATCGACAGATCCATATAAATATTTGTATGATATATATAAAGGATATTCATATAATATTCAACGTGCTGATTTAGGTCGATTAATAATTCTTCATAGTAAAGGTGGAATATATGCTGATTTAGATGTATTTCCATGTTTAAGACAAGTTGAAAATCTTCGTTTATCAAATGCATCATTTATTATTCCACGTTCATATTTCGGTTTGTCTTTAATAAATCATTTTTTAGTTGCACAAAAATCATCTCCTATTATTGATTATATTCTTCATGAAATAGTTCCAGTTAAATTTTATCGAAGAATTTATATTCTTCCTTATGCAGAAGTTTTTTCAACAGGATCTATTTTTTTAACTCGTGTTATTAGAAATTATCTTAAATCATCAAATAGTACAAAGAATTTCTTATGGATTTTATCTGAAGATGAAGTTATGAAATATGTAACTCATTATACTGGTAGATCGTGGCATTCATTTGATGGATATATTTTAAACCAAATTGATTCAAATCCAAAATCATTTATTTCTATTCTTGTTTTCTTGATTCTTTTTATCTTTATTCTTTTTAAATATCAATATTCTATTTTGAGATTTATTAAATTGAAATAAATCTCGTTTATTGATTTGTTCAATTTATATAAATAAATATAATTATATAAAACTTTTTTTTCAAATAAGAAACGATCAATT